ATATTCGCATATACATGCTATATTTATTTTCATGTATATTTCAGAAGTCTATGATTTTCTTCAATATTTTTTTTAAACATATTCTTGTAGTTTTTTTTACAACATCAAATATCAAAATTCCTTCATTTTTTTTGTTATAAAATATAAATAGTATTGAATGATTGTTTTTCAAAGACATAGTTTTTTACTGTACAATTGTACATACAATCATACATAGATAATATTGTCTAAAATAGCATCGGTTTTTACTAGAAATAGGAAATTACCAAATGTCATAACTCATGTGGCGCGTCGAGAAGAGTGTCAGGCTGTTCAGTGTCCACTCTGGACTCTGGACTCTGGAGTCTGGAGTCCAGTCACCAGTGTCCAGTAATATGTACGCCTATGCGGCTATTTATTTGTGTGAAGACTGAAGACTCTCACACGAAAGAGAGGGGAATTTTATATATATATATTATGTGGTGCTTTTGAAAGAAAAAGTCAAAGTGGATGGGCAACTGCTGCCTGCTCTGGGCAGCAGGCAGTGACGCTATGTCTTCTTGTTTTGCTTTTGTTTTTTTTTAACAAAAAAAACAAACAAACACCAATATGAGCTACTGCCGTACTGGTCTGAGCGACTGAGCCCCTTGGCCGCATTTTAAAAAACATACAATTATAAATTCATCAAAAATTGTAAAACAAGATAATACTCATCTTTAGTCTTAAAAAACTTTATAAAAAAATGATAAACAGTGAAAAGTGAAAAATGACAACAGAAAACCAAATGGCATTTCACATTTTTTTCGTTTTTACCCATTTACATAAATAGCCATGTACATTCTAAATACTATATATTTTAAACACTAAAAATAGATTGTGCACACGCAGCAGTGAAGGGGTTTTTTTAAAGCAAATATTAATATAAAATAATAAATATGTATAGTTGTGGACTTGTGGAGTTCAAATCCAGAGGAGGGGCTAAATACATGTATAAATATATAAAATATGTAATGTGTATTTAGCTAAAACAAACAATACAAAATATGTTTCTAAAAACATATGTACTTATATAAATATATATATATATATATATATATATTAATTTAAAAACAAAATATAAAAACCAGACCAGGCCTGAGGCCACGAGTGAGGACTGAGGGTAACGTCGTAACGACTCATAACGACTGACGACTGACGAGCAACCATTAAGTCACAAACAAGCCCGAGCCACAAGGCATGAGTGACTGACAGACACTGACAGACAGCGGTCACGGGCCACGGAGTCACGGACTAATCACAATTCACAACCAGAATTTACAAGTTATTTCAATTTTTTTAAATTTATACGACAATCAAAAACGACCCACAGGCCACTGCCACATACCTTTTAGGCCACTCCACACTCCACAGTCCACAATCTCACCACAGTCCACACTCTCACCTCAGTCCACACTCCACAGACCCTTAGTCTTCTGAGTTCAACATCCGACCACAGCAAAAAACAAATCTGACAAAAAAAATTAAAACGACAAAGAGTTCACACAACAAGAAGAGTCAAGAGAGAGGGTGTTCTACACAATAAAAAAAATACCAGTCACTGAACAGTGAACACTGAAGTTCTTTCAACTTTGGCCTTGGGCTTGCTCTGTGTCATGATATGTGTTGGGGATTTGGGGAGGGATGAAAGAATGGCTGGGCGAGTGGGGCAGTGGGCGGCCTCTCGTCCAGTCGTCACTCGTCCCTCGACTTCTCGATGGCCGAGGCGTCCTCCCACCCGAGCAGCGTGCGTGGACGATTGTTGGGGAATGTGGAATTGTGGAGTCCAAACTCCAGAGTCCAGACTAAACTGTCGAAACTCCACAGTCAAAAACAAAATTAGTAAAACACAGTCTCCTTTTAAAAATTTATAAATATTACAAATACATATTGCACTTGCAGAAGTAGAATACGAGACTCGCGAACTGCGAAGTCACGAGTATTTATATATTTTGTTTTCAAAACATAAAAATATTTTTAGAATATCGAGAATTCGAGACACAAGCCAGATTTAATGTGTTTGTACAATCATAGCCTTCTACATTTAAAAACAGTATAATTGTTGTTTTTATTTGTTTTTTAAAAACAAAACAAATTCAGAGCGAGATTATTTACTATATATTTACTAAAAATACATAGCCTCATAAATTGTACATAAAACAACTCGAATATATCTCTATACAGAGTAAGTAAAATTGTAAATCGACATCTACTAACTACTAGTAGTAGTAAATATATAACTACTACTAATTGAATAGAGCTGACAAACTTGAACTTTCGAAGCATTGAAATTGACACACATGACATATTTTGATTCTTCACTCTCGAGTTCCGAGTTTCGGAAAAAATCTACCCGGTTTTTCATATGCTATAAAATAAAACAGGGGTTTTTAAAACTCGCAGGAAAAACCCAGATGTTTCCTCCACCATTTTCTCCAAACAAAGGGGCTTTTGTTGTTTTTTTTTAAAACACAAATTTTAATAAATACATAAATATAAATATGTCGATTTTCTTCGTAGTTGTACATATGTACTTCGTAAATACAAATATTTACAATATTCGAGTAGGATAAAACCGAGAAAATGTACCAATACGGAAAGGTATTCTCTTTATCCTCTAGACATGTATTTTTTAAAATAGATCTCTGATAGGAACTGCTGGTAAACTCTCTATGGTTCTATTCTGATTTCTGAATGAGTATATGTAAATATAAAAATATAATACGTTTTCTGCTACAATTATAGTTAGGAGAGCATTTATTACTCAACTGATATATGGTTGGGGTTTATTTGTTTTTAAAAACAAACATAATACATTTACGAAATCAACTCTGCCAAACTGCCAAACTGCCAAAGTCTTGCGCATTTCCAAGAATTTCAGCAGAAATATTAGATAAATATTATCCCTATGATGATTCTTTTTTTTTTTCAAAAAACAAAAAGGCAGGATCATTTTATTGGAAAAACAACTCCTGTCCCTTTTTTTGTTTTTTTTAAAACAAAATGAATAAATACTTATCGAACAACTCCCCTGTGTGTCCTGGCTCTTGCTGCAGTGATCAGTCGACACTCGACAGTCATCAGACGGTTTAGGCGGTGAGGCGGCTGAGGTCTATTTATTTTATTAATTTTAGTAAAAAGCCGTACGCCGCGGCCGCTCGCCGCTTGGGCAGGGGGGGCACTCACAATCAATGCCTGTCTGACTGACAGACTGTAATAGTGCGAACTGTCAATCCAAGTCCCAACAGCAACGTTCCAGGCCCAGCCGACCAGCCCCAATCCCGCCCTGTGTCGTGCCAGCCAGCAAGCGATGAGCGAACGAGGGCTTTTTTCTGAAATAAAATCTTTAGTTACCGGGACACTCAGTCTCAGTGGAATCACCGAATCAGGTATTTGTAGAAGCGAATTGTGAGGACGAATATATATTTAACAGCGGCGAGCGGAGCCCAACTCCCATGCCTCTTGTTGAATACGATACTCATCAGAAGATTGCAAACAGTCTACGGAATCATTTTTACGCTAGACATAATAGACAACCTACTGCATAAATCTTGTTTTAGTATACCCCTTTTCCCCTAGCGACAGCCTTGAGGTTTCAATAGACTATGATACGGTTGGCCCTATAAATATAACATTCACGGGTAAGTGATCTAGATATCATGTAAAAGTGTTTCGTGTGTCGGTCGCATATCTACCTTTCAAAGGTTCCGAAATACTTTTATTCGCGCAGGGTGTACAAAGTACTGCAAGTGGTATCTGCAATTTATTCGTGTTGATTTCACAGAAGCATTTCCTTTTAAGTTGCGAAGTGCAACTAAGAGCTCTTTATGTACATATGGAGTGCTGTCTTTTTATTGGTCGTGCTGTAATTCTGACCATTGTTGTGCTCTTGATTTCGTGCGTAGGTATATGGTTCTGTGGCTTATCGTCTACAAAAGTATTTCCTTCATTCATAGTGTTTGCGTGAAAAATCATTACAAATCCACAACCAAAACCGTTCCTCGACAGTCTTCAATCGCAGCGGATACGTACGTTTGTGCGCCGGCTTCTTCCACCGACTTAATTAGAAACTCTTGTCTGTTCCTCGAACTGTTCTTGCCGATTTAGTGGTTTGTGTCGCTCAGTTACACGCTTTCTCCTACTTTCAAGTTCTAAACCCCGTGCAACTTCATATCCTGAGTTATCACCCTTCTCTTGTGTGAAGTAAAATTATGCAAAGCATATTGGCGGCAACATAATATACTGGTTGTTGATTATCAGCGACAGCTTCTGTATCGACTCTGACCTCTCACGCCGCTTAAATTGACAAAACGTGTGTGTGGATATTCATCAAACAAGGTCTTGCAATTGATTGTATGTAAGAGTATAGTTGACTATTCTGCGATAAGATCTCCTTAGATCTTGGGTGTGTGTATAGCGGTCTGGGACTGTCCAATCGAAGAATTTATGTGCGCCTCGAAGGAGAGCACGTGTTTCGGGAAGAGGTATGATTGAGCCTACCTGTAAACTTATTTTGGTTGTAGCAACATGTTAGATACACCATATGCGATAAACATGCGGAAGTGACTTTTCCTTTAGCATTCTAAGTTGTCGGTGTACTATTCTATCTTATCAAACAAAGGCGTTTTCAACCTGTTTTTAGCGTTTCGGACGCTCATTTTTTTAATGCACCGACAAATCAGTGCGAAGTGTTGGTCTGGTGTTTATATGCGACACTATATCGAAGACTATCAGAAGTCGACAATAAAACCTATGCAACATTGTGAACTGTTAACTGTCAATAATTCAAGTTCCTACAACAATATGCTTATCCCAGCGTACACCTATATTCGGAGATTCAAGCACTCCGTTGTATAGGATTGAATTGAATCCTTGATTCGAGCCCACGACATTATTGCAATATCATTCATTTTCAATATATCTGGCGCCAGTTCAACGGTAATAACTATATACATGTGTATTACTATTGCGCAGTTAGCAATCGAAGATCTCCAAGATGGGGAAGAAGGCAGCAAAAGATCAGTCACCAGCGCTACACGTTGTGAACAAGATAAATTGTGCTGCGTGTAAGAATAGCATAGGCCCTGTGGCGCTACGACACTATTGCGCCATATGTAAGGTATGTTCGATATACTATCAACGAGATTGTCTGTTGGTTTCATATCAAGCTAAGTCTAACTTTATGCGTGGCGCGAGCGCACCCTCGGACTGGTAGGTCTGTTATCGCTGAAGATCCTGTGACGACATTTGGCATGATGTAGTTGCATTCCCATGGTGTATAAAATGCTATGGCTGAGCACATCTGTTGAATGTTTATATCTAATCAAAAAAACGGTACTTTTTGTATATATTGTTAGCACTCGTTTGAGATGGCGCACCCGCTTAGTCTTCTGAATGTATTGATCGGCTCCCCTAGGCGGATTTCGCAGCAGGATTTGACCTAAACTGCGATTCGCTGCGGGAGTGTCTCATGGAGACCTTAATCCATGTCTGACAGTGTTCGTCAATGTAGTAATACAGTATACATAAAGTAATACAAATGGCATATAGGTCAGATACAAACGGGGCGGTCTTCGCACAAACATTACTGATTCATGTACACATTGATCGAATCTTGCAGATCTATTTCTGCAATCCGTGCCATCCACGTGTCAATCATGAGCATCAATGTTACAGTAACAAGAACATCCTGCCGAAGCTACACAACATCAGGAATATCGCCAACCTTGTCGCAAGCGAAAACCGAGCTAATTTACCAATAGTTGAGGTGATCCGCAAACGCAGAACCTCTTATGCAAAAGAGGTGTCCAAAAGAATCACGAAAATGCTTTGTAAACAATTTCAGGTAAGTGTCTGATTTACTTGGTAACTGTGTTGTTGTATGCTCAGACTTCTATGAATAATATTTGACTTGAGGCGTAGAGCTAACACATGACGAATCGTTACGTTTATGTCTATAGGCTGATTTGGAGGAGACATTTAGAGAGCACCGCGAAACACTTGCGAAGGTCCAAAAGAAGATCAATGAGATACACTCAACGAAATCGAATAATGTGAAGCTTAAATCTGACTCAGATGTACAACAAGATGCAACAAGTACAGCTTTGTGCACAAAGGAAGCATCTCAAGGCAGCAGTGAAGAGGAGCTTGCCGTCACATCGGGTGAGGCCGTCACATCGGGTGAGAATCAGGGCAAAGCGGAGGCACAGAAAGCTAGTGAGAAGGAGGAGTTTATCTCCGATAATGTACTCAATTCAGTCTTTGAGGTAAGGGGCCAGTGCACATATTTATCATTTCTCCATTGTATTCCTCGTTTGCAATTCCTGTGTTTTATATTTTTGACTTGAAGCTTCTGGAGTGATGTTGTGTCGTACCGCAGAAAAGCGGTTAGGGTGTATCTTAACTGTAGTTGTGTCAGTAGAAAGGCGGTTCGTTGTATCTATCTGTTGATTTTTTGTCACCGACGCATTGCAGAACGCTATCAAATCGGCTCTAATGATAGCACAGAAGGCGATTTTGCCGGACTCGGAGTCGATTGTAGTGCGCATCGAAAAGGGCCTAATTACAATAGATCCACCGGTGGATGCCGAGGAAGAAGTGCCAAAGGTTAAAGAGCCCGCTACTAAGGGCAGGAAAAGGAATGGTAAAAACAAGCAATCAGTCGTTATCGAGCCTATACGTACACACAAGCGAGAGCTCATGGACCAGGTTAAGGTGAGGGAGGCTGTCAAGGCCACACAGTTGCTCGGAAATCTTCGGCAGTCGGCTTTGCGTTCTCAAGAGACGAAAACAGACAATCAGTCGAAGACAGACCCACCCGTCACGGCAAATGATAAGAAAAAGGGGGTCTTCAAGAAACCCGGAAGCCAAGGTGCAAAGAGTGAGAAGCTAAAAAAGTCTGGACAATCTAGGCCAGTGTTGGCGAGCAGTATCGTCGAAGCTGCAAATGCGGCACGTACAAACCTTAACGACGATTCAATGGTGAAAGACGAAGCTGTAGAGATGAATATGTGTCTCGACCCTGAGATAGTTGCAGAGGTAGTGATGGGTGTAGAACCAGCAATTATGAGAGTCAAACCTCGGGCACCCACTCCACCGCCCCCAACTGCAGTGCCTGAGTATCAGTTAAAACCTAAGGCGACAGCTAGTGGGGTGCCGCAGATAGTAGGCGCAGGTAGCGCTAAGGTGAAGGCAACGAAGGGAAAAGGTGTACCTGGACCGAAAAGGAAACCGGGTCCTAAACCGGGATCGACCAAGAGAAAGCGAGACACCACTAAAGGTGCCATGGCCGAAGATAAAGACACAGCACCGATGCCAAAGAAGAAGAGAACCGCCAAGACAAATCAGAAGAATCGCGTGTCAACACCTATACTGCATGAGCCCACGAGGATGGATCTCACAGCCGTGTCAGCAGCGAATGTGACTGGGGTTAAGAAGGTTAAAAATAAAAACGGGTCATCCAATCCAATCGGATTGGAGCACGCGTCCAATCAGGATGAGGAGGCCAATGTGATATTGGCACCTGAGAGAGGCCCCGAAAGGGAAGTGACGGGGATGCCAGATAGAGAACTGCAGACGCAAGATGACAAGCAGAAAAAGGAGTTGAGCGACAAACTGCTCAGACTCGCCGACATTGAAGACCACAAGAAGTCGCAGGAAATGTACATGCGTCCAGCGACGAATATGCACTCCATCGGTAACGGTAGTACGAATGCGATGACAGAGGAGCAAGGGCATACATCTCGTATGCAAAACAATGCAATGGCGGATGTGGACCGTAGCAGTGCGGATAAGAGTGCGGGTGGCCAGCACATGCGCAATGTCTCCAGTCAGTCGACTACGTCGAGGCAGGACTTCATCAACCCCATGGTGGCCAAGCGACAGGGAACGGCATACAACCAGCAGATCGCCCGGGAGAAACTCATACAGCAACGACACTACTTAGATCAAAAGGAACTCGGAGAACGTGAAATGCCGCACTCCAACTCAAACTCCAACAATGACATCGTAGGCGATGGGGTTATGGAGAATGCAGGGGACGTGAGTACCGGTAAGGTGAATGTGGATGAGAGTGCAAGATTGGGAGGGAGAAATAGCTACAAAATGAACCCCTACGCACGCACTCCCCACGAACAAAGCGGCCCAGGCCTGCCTAGAGCGAGAGGTGAAATGGACCGCATGGACCGGGCTGAGTTTGACCAGGGCGAGGAAGCGCTGCGGAAACATCGGGTGTTCGATGGCGATCGAGAAAACTTTCTCGCACGGGAAAGGTACCAACAGGCCCAGATACTTCGGAACAGGCAAGCTGAGGGTTTGCAATTAGAGCAGCAAGAGAGGGCGAGAATACAACAGCGCGAGAGGCAGATGTTTGAGGCGGGTGCTGCTAGGTCACTACAGAGGAACGAGTCCATGCGGTTCGGGGCGTCTCACAAAGGTCGGAGTGCCGCAGATGCGGAGAAAAGCGAGTACCACAGCGAGCGAGCGCGTCTGGCTATGCAAGATGAGATGGAGCTGGTTGAGAGAGATCCCGATGGAGCACACGGAGCTAAAGGGATGCGTGGGATTGCTCTGAATGGACCTCCGCTGCCTAGGGGAGGTCCAAGAGACAGTCGTGAGCAGGGTATGCGCGTTATGAATGAGGAGTATGCGAAAGCAAACCCCTCGAAAGTAGAGCAATACCGTCTGCAGCAGGAGAGCGAGCGCGAGATGAGTGGACAACGTGGAGCACCACAGCCACCGACACAGCACATGGAGGATAGAAGACGCGTACTTGATGGAAGGGCATCTGCGGGTATGGGTATGGATGCACCCCAGGGACAAGGCAGGCACTTTCAGGAGGGGATGCCGGTTCAAAGGCAAGCGACTGGAGAATACAGGGGGGTGCCCAGAGGAGAGGGGAGCAACATGCTGGCGGCGCGAACGAGCAGGGATGGCCTGAGTGCTAATCAGCGACGATTGAAGGGGTTGCAGATCGAATTGCAAAATATGGATGTGCGTGATCCCAACCGCGCAAGGTTAATGGCAGAGTTCACAAACCGAAAGGACTTTGAAGAACAGCAGCAGCAGAGCAGAAGCACGCCCCAAATGCAGGCCCAGGGTGCGCCTGAAGATATACCCCGAAACGCCGCTAACATTGGTATTGGGAACGGTGCATCATACAACGCTAGGACTCCCTCCCAGTCGTGTGGAGGTGTTGCCAGAGCAAATCCTCCATCTTATGCCTTAGGAAGGCAAGGTATTACAAACGGCCAGAATATGGCCCCTGGTGGTTGGCGGGGACCTCCTGGACACGAGACTATTGAAGACACATCTCAGCACACTATGGGCAGACAGCAACAGCAACGACAGGGTAGAATTTCGGCCATGTCCCCGAATATGTCGGCCCGAATGGACATCAAGCACGAGAGCATTGGAAACGAGCGAATGCGCGATAGTATCCTAGGGGAGGGCAATGCCCAGTATGCCAATGTGAACGGACGAGCCGAAGGAGGGGGTAGTATGGGCGTCAGTGAGCGTATAAGTGGTGCTCAGCGTCCATCCGATGCGAGAGGTGCTCGTGGTGGCCCACGGGGTGCGGAGGGTATCAGAGGCAGCTACAGCAACGCTTACGAACCTATGATGCAAGCGGGCGTGGTGAATGGTGGGAAGGGCGGGCGAGTTGGCCCGGGCGGTGAGGCTGAAGATCACATCAGACGAAGCAATGTGAATTTGAGCGCTGCGAGAGCTCGAGCGCCTGTCAGACAGCGGCCGGATGGGGCGCAGAATTTCCAGCAACGCGCACCGCAACAACAACAGCAAATGTCCCTGGATCAGCTTAACCAACCAAGACAGTACGGCAGTATAGAACGTGAGGGTATGCCGCAGGCACGCCCGAGTAAGCATGTGATGGCTGTCCAGGAACGCTGGCAAGGAATGGGTTTGCAAACCGGAGATAGAAGACCAATGAATGCGAACTATGATCCGCATGAGTTGGCCCAGAGAGATGATAGGAGAGAGATTAGCCGAGATTATCGTTGATTCCAGGAAGTGCATGAAATCCTACATCTGTGGTGCACCAACGCTTTCATACAACCTAAGTTGCATCTTACAAAGCTGGTTCCGTAGTCGACTGCCATCTGGGCTTCCTTCACTCAATTTGTAATAATAAGGTTGGGATTGAACTCAGAATAGCAATAGTACAAAATGAGATTTATGAACGGCTTCAAATATCGTCTAGGAATGGATTTCCAGCTGTGCATGGAAAAGCAAATATAAGAAAATTGAATCTTTGTTCGTCGCGCAGCGCCTAGTGCAGAGCTGACTATCAAGTAGCATGAGAATAACTATCTGTTACGTCAAGCAGAGACATTCGTATTTTTGATAGTGGTGACTACATAGTACTATCGGTAGTTCGATAGTGGTTGACTACATAGTACTATCAGCTATTGCAATTCTATCAGGGATTGATCTAAGCGATCATCCAATTACAATCCAAGCACATAAAATTGTACAATTGCTTTACTACAGGAAGCGCATATAGTCGAAGAATTTTGTTGTGGTTGTCGATCTAGACCAGACTCCCAATGCGCAAAATTGTATTTATATAGTAGAGTAGCCGACTTTATATTGATGATCCTTTTATGTTTGTTATGCTGTATTGGTCAAAATTATACACTTATATCACCATCTAAATTGGAAGAATAGTAGAATTGGCATTTGCGTATGAATTGAATCTACGCCACTATATAACTTCGAGACCATAACGTTAGCGTCCATAATTGCGCAAAATTTTATTATAGACTGAACCTTTACTGTTCACGTTAAATTGAGTTCACATCTAGTTGCAGTATACTTCAATTATAATAGGGCCCAGTCTTGAGATGTAAACAAAAGCCCACCGATACACTGCGGCAGATACTCTCGAGTCTATTTTGGACAATTCACTGCTTCAAGTAAATGCTACGTCAAACAGTCTACTTCACGATGCAGCATTCAAAATGCAAATCACGATAGACCAGCAATGACTACTAATTCATTTTTCTCGCTGGTGATTATCCTCGATAAAGTTTAATTATATTTGTCTGATTACTAATGCATTTTTCTCGCTGGTGGCTATCCCCGATAAAATTTAAATATGTTTGTCATCACTGCATGACATGATTCAAATCGAGCCTTCGCACGCCCAAGGCTTGCTCAAAACAAGCGAAGGAATAGCAATAAATACAAACAACTTCACCATTTTGCCAATATATATACTTGAACACTAAGAACAAAGCTTGACTACTTGAACCGATAACTGCACGATAACTGCACACATGCACGACTTCATAATTTAAACCCTATCGCTGTTGCTCAAGGCGACATTGTCCATAACAATACAATTTTACTTGACTCAACATTCTACAAGCTCGAGTAGACCTCGTTGAAGTCGGCGACTTAGATTCAGAGACCAGCTGTCAGTTGTGTGTTGTGGGCTGATTGAGGTCGTTTATCAAAATTGCCACTTTCGAGCCTGCGCGGCCGTTCGCCAACAAACCGCACTATACAACTTAGAACTTTTCGAACTTATTAGTTGTCACACTTATAAGTTATCGCCCACACCTAGAAGTTCTCGCACTCTTACTAACGCCCAGGAGCATTACCCAACAGTTCGGTACTTACAACACCAACATTGTAAATCGGAGGTAAACTTGGTTGACATTACAAAACAGATAAAGGACATGGATCCTCAGGGCACAGGCCCATAGCCCTCTGAAATAAATAAAACTATTTACGTTAAAATTTGCATAACTGGCCAAAATGAAGGGTACTCTGACTATGCCATCAGGTACTATGAGAGTCAACTAGAGATTCTATTGGTATGAAGCTATTTTAATGTGGCTGTTTTATTATTATTTTTTAACAAACAATTAGGGGCCGGAAAGAAATGGAAATCCGTTGCTTTTGTTCAGCTTTGTAGTTTGTAAATACATATTTAGAATACATACTGTACAGAAGAAGTTTTTTTATTCTTTTTCTTGATGAAATTTTCTTCAGTATTTACTTATATTTTTATTAAAACAAAAGCACGCGGATTTCCCTTTTTGTATATTAAATTTCCTCAATTTTCAATCTTTCCTGGCCCCCCAATGAATGTCAATCACTATTTATTATTTATTATGTTCTCTATTTTCAGAAGCCAATGTTTTTTTGTTTTTTTAAAACAAATATATATATATATATATTTATATATATATATATATATATTCACTGTCATACTGCAGACAAATGGAATCACTATTTTCTTATTTTTTTTAAATAGACTATATATTTTTATCACTATAAAGCTTTAGCTATTAGGTAACTCAGAACTCTATTTATTCCAAATAAGGAATAAAGTGAAGCTTTTTATGCCCATTTGAGACCCCATACATGATTATAGAAAGGCCCAATTCAAGAAACACTATGTGATACCAGTAGTACGATTATTGGGGACCAGCAATAGCAGAGATACGGATATTGGGGGCTTTCCTCTCCCCCCCCCCCCAACAACAACAACAGCAAAAAAATCGGAAATCTTGACCGATACGTGAACCAAAATTGAAGTTGCACTTTTAAAAAACCATGGGGCGCGCTTTCCCAAAAGAAACAAGCGTACGAAAACCCAAAAAAAAAAAATATATATATATTTCTCCATCTACAGAGCTTTTAGTTTTCCACTGACATTAGCGGTGTTTTATTACATTGAATCTATGTTGTTGTTTTTTTAAAGAGCTAAACAATCATTCTAGGACTCAAGACATCTGATTGGTTACTCAAAAATGAAAATCGCTATCGAATGTCTATCGAAAGTACTATATAGTTTATTGTCGTCAACCAACTCGACTATACGCGATAACGAGATATGTCCATTTTACTAAAAGCGACCAAAAATTACTATGAGGAACTCAGGTTTTTCGGTTTTCCCGGGAAATGGTTATGCGGGTTGCCAACTTGTGTTACTGTTTTGGATCTTGTAAGTTAGCAATTGGAGTTGAGGAATATGGACCAATCGATTGTCCTCATTCACGTGATTACTATTTTCACCAGATGAGTCATCGCCTATTTTTATAAACGCCTTTTTGTTGTTGCTGAGCACTGTGAATGAGACTGTCAAAGTGTCACAAGTTCACAACCTCACACTTTCACCGTTTCACGAGGCTGGATATATATATATATATATATATATATATATATGCATATATACATACACATATACATATACATATATATATATATATATATAATATATATATATATATATAATAGTATATATATATATATATATATATATATATATATAATATATACATATATATATGTATATAAAATACGTATACATATATATATATACATATATATATATATATATATATATATATATATATATATACATATATATACATATATATACATATATATATATATATATATACTATATATATATATATATATATATATATA